ATAAGTTTTCCAATATTCCTTTATATTCTTCATTATCTGTCATTTCTCATAGTGTAGTAACATTCTATGATACTGAAATACCAATCCACTTGAATCCATTAAGTATTTATTAAGTTCCTACTATGCACGATGTTGAATAGGCGGTGGAGGTAGGAAAAAATATCATCACACTCAAGGGGCTTACTAAAAGGGTAGGTTAGAATAGAAGGAAACACTACAAAAACATAAGTATATGAATGATACTTTGAGGATGGAGGGAATCATGAAAGGCTTCTCACCTGAGCTGAGTCTTGAAGGAAGCCAGGGGTGTTAAGAGGAGCATGAGCAGGGAATGCATTTCAAGTATTTTCTATACAAAGGCAAAGAGATGGAGTTCAGAGATTGGGGAACATCAAGATGACCTAACTAGAATGTGAAATGAACAAGGGAGATAAAAAGAAATAAATCTAGAAAACTAGAAAAGCCAGGCTGTGATAGGCTGTAAATGCCAAGCTGAGGAATTTATATTTTATCCAAGAGGCAATAGGGAGCCATTTAAACTTCTATAGCAGGGGGAAAACATGCTCAGGCTTGTGCTTTAAGAAAATTATTTTGGTAGCTGTGTGGAGGATGGGTTGGAGAGGGGAGCAAGTAGAAACAGATCAATTAAAAGGCTATTACAATAATCCAGGAGAAATGTGATAAGGATTTGAATCTAGATGGTAGCTGTGTAAGTGGAAAGAAGGGAACAGGTGTAAGAAATGTCACAGATAGAACCAATAAATCCTGGCAATTGATTGTACACAGGACGTGAGATTGAGGAGTGAGATAAAGGTGATTCTGAAGTAGGAAACTTTGATAACTAGAAGGTTTACCTTTGAAAGTTTGGAAGATAGGCAGGTTTAGGGGATAAGATGACAAGTTAAGTTTGACATGTCCAAGGAGTTCAAGCGGATATGTCCAATAAGCAATTGATGATGTGACTGGAGAAAGAGACTAGAATTAGATACATAAATATGGAAATAATCTGCATAGAGATAATAATTGAACAATGATTTATTGAGCCATTCCCAAATCATAAACATAGAGGTTATTTCCAGTTTTGGTTTTTTGCTATTAACAATAAAGATCCTATGAATATTTATTTTTATACCCATATGTCTCCTTTTCTTTTTAATACATTTTAGGGTACAGTCTTTAGAGTGGCATTATCTGATAAAAATGTATGATCAATTTTGTAACTTTTAATGTATATTGTCAGGTTGCTTTCCAAAAAAGATCCTACCTATTTAGAGTTCCACCAGCATTGTAGCAATGAGTTTGTTTCACTATAGCTATGTTGTATTTTAATTTTCTTGCTTTTAAGGGTCTTTGCCAATTTGCTGAGTCTAAGAAGATATTTTGGAATTGTTTTATTATATATTTTTTCTCAATTGTTAGATAACTTGAATAGTTTTACAAATAGTTATTAATAATTTGTTTCTTCTTTCAATAACTGTTGGTATTCTTTTCCTAATTGTCCGCTGGCCAATGAACATTGCTCTTAATTTTTTTGTCAATTTTTAAATAGACTTTTTAAAATATATTTTTAAAAAATCAGATTTATATACTACATTTTCCCTAATGTTTTTTCTTTTATGTTTGACACATTACTTTTAGTTACACAAAACTTTATTTTAAAATATTCATTTATTTTTTTCTTGTGATATAATTTATTCTATACAATCCATAATTTCTTCTTTTTCTTTGACGAGAATTTCCTCATTTCCACAGATAAAAATCAATACATCTTTTCTTGTTCTTCTAGTTTCATGTGGGTTTTTTATATTTAGATTGTCAGTTCATTTGAAATTTACTATAGTATATGAGATATGGACCTCATCCCATCCCAACAGTTTTATTGAATAGTTACTCCTTTTCCCAATGTTTCATAATTTTGTATTTATAAAACATTAATATATTGTATGCCTTTGTGTCTAATTCTGGATTTTTTCCCATTGATCTATTTTTGTCCAGTACCAGATAGTTTGGGAAATTGCTACTTTATAGTATAATTGGAATTTCACAGCTCAATTTCTCCTTCCTCAATGTTTATCTCATAGTGGCCTTTTATATTTTTGTCCAATTGTCCTGCATAAATTTTATTATAAATGTATCAATTAAGTAGCTCACTGCCATTCTGATTACATTAAATCTGTAGATTAATGCGGGTACTGTTAGCATTTTTATTGGTTTAATTCACCCTCTCTCTAGTTGTTTAATCCATCACTTATGTTTGTCAAAACTATTTTTATGGTTATCTTTGATAGATCTTATGCGTTTTTACTGGTCCAGTATCCAAGTATTTAAAATCTTTTGTTATTGTTAATGCTTTTTTTTCTTCCTAAACTCTCTAAGCTTCATTTTCCTCATTTTTAAATTGAGAAGACTAGAATTAATCTAAGTCTGTTACAACTTTAAGTCTGTGATCTTCATTGCTGTTACTGAGATATAAAAATGTTGGCGAATTTCTATGCTCTTACCAAAGTCATTTAGATCTGTAATCAGTTTGTTTTTTTCGACTCTTGGATTTTCTAAATGTACTATCCTCCTTGATCTGTCACTGTACTGCTGTGGGTACTCCCTTCATTGAGGCAGCTTGAAATTCCTTCATGATTTCTCATCCTGTGCAAATCTTGTCTGTGTCTTTTCATAAATGCTCCACAGAATATCTACCCAACATGCTGGAGGTTCAGTCTTCATGGATGCTAAGGCAGCACTCTGTTATACATAATTCTTTCCACATGACCCACCCACATCCTTTTCTGTCTACACATGTTCTCAGTGATGTCATTTATGACACTTCTTATGTGCAAGTTATCCATAACTGGCAATAAACTTTGTTCAGATTCACCCGTTCACCCATACCCATCCATTAACTTTTTTTTCAATTTTGTTAGCATTTAGAATGCATAGAGTTCTCTCACTGTTTTCTTAACTTTAATTCAATGTAACAAAACAAGTTTGCTTTTTAATTTATCATCTTATTGATCTTCTCATTTCTGATTTTGGTCATTTGATTTTTCTTTTTTCTTCAATAACTCTCAATTTTGTTATTGAGTATTATCTCAAATTTATTATTATTTTTTAAAGTCTTCATTTCAGGTTTTACCAATTCAATTTTTCTTTTTTGTCTATTTTGTTGATTTTTTTTCCTCTCATTTCTTTTTATCCTACTTTTAGTAAATTAACTTTTTCATTTTCTATTTTCTCTGGAACTTGACTGGAACCAGTTACAGAATGGGTATGCATAAATCAAATTAGAACTAGAAGCAGTGGACAGAAGTTACAGGAAAGGAGTTTTCCTAATAATTAAAGCTGTCCAAAATGGAAAGGGTTATCATGGTATGTAATAAGTTCCCTTTCACTGAGGGTGAAGTGCAGACTGAATGATCATTTACCAGGGATGTTATAGAAAGCATTCATGTTCTGGGTGGTGGCTCTCTGAAATTACCTGTAAATCTAAAATAGAAGCATGATGGGGCCTCTGAGATAAAATACAAGGCAAGGCCACTTGGTGGTAGAATAAGAAGATGGGACAAAAATTTAGAGCTGGAAAGGATCACTAACTTCATCTAGTCCAACACTCTGATTTTATAGATGGAGTAATTGAGTCCAAGAGAATTTATGTTATATTCAACGTCATACAGGTAGTCACTAGTAATCAGTTAGCCAACAAGTATTTATTATGCACCTACTATGTGTCAAATACTATGCTAAGTGCTGGAGATAGAAAGGTATTAATCTCTGCTCCCAATGAGTTCACAGAGATAAGAGCAACCTAGCAGAGAAAGAAGACCCACATCCCTGACTCAAAATCTGATTTTTTTCCACTATACTACACTGCCTGAGGGCTGGCAATGTTGCCAAAGAGACCAGGTCCCTAAAGTGAGAAGTGCAGATAAGGCAAGTGAAAGTGACTGTAGGAGAGAGAAAGAAGAGAAGAGGCATGGAAATTACAAATGACAACATCAAGAACAGAGTGTTCTACTGGTCACCATCTTTTCTAGGGGGTCATTCCTATGTAAATTGGACATCCATCCATCCATCCATCCATCCATCCATCCATCCATCCATCATCCATTCATCTACCCGAGAGACCGTCAGTACTTTCATTTTTAAGAATAAGAGTTCTGTGAATAAGGGCCAGAGAAAACATTTGTTTTGCCAAAATATTCATTAAATAAAATTTAGCATAGCCACCAAAACACTATGCATGTACAATAGAAAGAGCACAACAGTCAGAGGACCCTAGTTCAGATCCTCCATCTGACCTACTTGAATGATAAGTCAGCATAGTGTAGTAGATATGAAGCTGACCTCAAAGCCTGAAAGACTTAGGTTTAGGGGTCCTGCCTCTGACACATACAGGGTGTGTGACTCTGTGTGTCATTTAATCTGGTAAAGTTCTAGGCAACTCTAAATCTGTAAGTTGTAAAATAAGTACCAACTTGCATTGGTAGAAGTTTACTAGGGAAGTCCCTATACCAATGAAATCATTGCTCTTGTCCCTGACCCACCTAATATGATGGAAATTTATGCAATAATATTTCATCTATATTTCCTCTTAGATATATTTCTCTTTTCTAAAATAAGAGCATAAACCAGGAATTGTAGATATCCCAGACATATAACCCACCAAGGACTGGCATTAGGTTAGAACTTTTAAGTTTATTATTTAAGTCCTATTTTAAAATTTAAAAAAAATTATGTTACTGCATGACTCTAAGAAGCTATGTAGTACTTTCATATGTGGTATGTTATTCATACTCAATAGAAAACTGAAGGCGTCTCTTTTATCCCATTGTTGCATTCCTCTTTATCATATTTGATAAATGATATTCCATGTAGATTTAGAATACTAGAGTTACATGGTTCCCCACTCTCCCATCCTCCAACACATACTCTTTGGGAGGATGCTTCAACCATCACCTCTGATACCAAGTAGTACATTTCTTTCAAAAGCAAAAATGTACCTTTTACATGATTCAAAATGCTGATTATCCAATCTGTTAGTTTTCTGGTTCCTAAGTGGCTCAGTGCAAAGCAGTATTACTTTGGTCATCACTGGTCACGTGGCCATGTATGGATTGCTTCTTCTAGGTTTTGCAAAAGCCATGATCGTCAAAACTCACTTCACTGTGAAATGGAAACCAAAACTGACTTCAACTTCAATAAGCCATGAAAGTCTTGTTTTCAGTGACATCATGTTGACCTGATTCTCAGTTTACTTGGCAGCAGCAGAACTATTCCAATGAATTATCAAGGAAGTATTGATTGCCACTGAGGCAACAGTAACACACAGAAAATCAGGAAAACCAAAAGTGAGGTGTCTAACAAGAGGAATATCTAAGTTTTTTCTTTTTTTCTTTTTTTTCCCCTCCCTGCACTGGGGTAAAGCCCATTCACTATGTATTTGCAATTAACCATTGTATAATCTCCTTAAAGTAGATGAGTTAGAAAGTTTTTTAAAACCTAATTAAGGTCCCTCCCACTTTAGTCAGTCTTCAGATTGCCTTTAGTCCAATGTAATAGCATCTCATTTTGCTAGGTAAGCTTTTAGAAATGAGTGACATATTTATAAGATATGCAACTAGATTCACAATCTAATTCAACATGACTTCAGGGGTTGACAAACTGGAGTGTGCTAGGACATTGGAAGTGAGGGATAGAGGCATTTTCACAGAATGGAAAATGCTTTATTAAAAGTCAACTCCTGTTGACTCCTAATAAAAGTAACTCAAAAGTAACTCAAAGAATTCACCTTCCTTAGCTTCAGTTTCCTTATCTATGAAATCAGGGACTTGGACTAAATGATGTCTAAGGTCCCTTCATGGTCTGACATTCTGTGATTAAGTATATGTCATATTTTCATCCCTCTGTGCTACCCTTCCCACTACACTGGAAAAGTATCTGTTGTCTAGAGAATACATATGTACATACATACATACATACATACATACATATATATGTCATACTCTAATAGGTAACTGGTTAAAGAACATAAAGAAGCAGATTTCAAGTGAAGAAATTAAATATACCAATAACCATATTAAAATGTTTTAAATAATTACTTAAACTAGAAATGCAAATTACTACTAATAATATATATGTAAATTCTGACATTCCACCTTATACCTGGCATATTGACAAAGATGAAAAGAAAATGAAAATGGTAAATTTGAAAGGACTCTAGGAGGATAGGCACATTAATGCACTGTTGGTAGAACTATGAATTGATCCACCAGTGCTGGAAATCAATTTGGAGTCATAATTTAAAAATTGTTAAACTGTATATAACCATTGATACCTCTATTAGGCATTTACCAGAAAGAGGTCAGCGGGAAAGGACCTATAGGCACCAAAATAATTATAGCACAACTCTTTCAGTTCTTGCAAAGAACTGGAAATTAAAGAGTTGTCCATCAAATTGGGAGTGGCTATGCAAGCTATGTTATATGAATATAACATAATATTATTTTGCCTTAAGAAATCACGAATATGATGGATTCAGGGGAAAAAAAACTGTTAAACTTGTATAGACTAAAGCCAAATGAAGTAAGTAGAAACAGGAGAACAATTTCTATAACAAGTATGTAAAGAAATGAACTTTGAAAGACTTCAGAATTCTGATCAATGTAGTGACCAGTCATGACGTCAGAAGACTCGTGATGAAGCATAATTCCCTCCTCTTGGCACGGATGTAATAGAGTAAAGGTAGAGAATGATGCAATCATATTCAAACATGGCAATTTCTTTTTCTTTTTTCTTTTTTTTTTTGCTTGACTATATTTATTTGTTAGAAGGAGGGCTTCTATTTCAGGTTGTGGAGAATTGGTAAGTAGGGACAGAGTCGCAAAAAAAAAAGAAGATAAAGAATAGATTATCAATGAAACATTAACAATACATGGGAAATAGGGGAGCATAGATGAGTGGGAAGTCTTGTTAGTACTGTGTTAAATATAATGTATACTTAAAAAACTCATACTGTACATAACAAGTTTCAGAGTTTCATAAACAATCCTCTTTTTTTGTTCTTTGCATATTGACATATCCATGTTGGTTGATGTTTAAGTTCATGATCTGTGTTAAGGGAAAGGAACAGAAATGAAAATAACCTAAAACCACCTAATTTGTTTATATTGGCTATTGTAATACAGTTAGAGAGACACTGAGAAATAGGTATCGTTATCATTTTCATTGGTTAGCACTCTCTCAACTTGTCCCTCTCATTAGGAGTCATGAAAAGCTACATGATTTAAAGGTTGTCTTTTTTGGCTATCCTCTCAAAACTTCTTTTGAGATAGTGGAGTAGCTCATTGGATAGTGCTGGATTTGGAGTCAGGAAAACTTGGTTCAAGTCCTGTTTCAGATAAATATTAGCTGTGTGACCCTAACATGTTACTTAACCTCTGCCTCAATTTCCTTATCTAAAAAAGGCAGATAATAATACTTACCTCAGAGGACTGTGGTAAGGATTGAATGAGATAAGAAATGTAAAGTTTTACAAACTGTAAGGGGATATATAAATGTTATTATTTATTAGTGTGGCCAAATTTTATCATCTTTGTTTTACAAATGAGGAAACTCAAGCTTTGTGAGATAGAATGACTTGCCTACTGCATTAGGAAGTGTTGGAATCAGGACCAAACCTGGTTACCCTGAGGCAAAGTCTAATGTTCTTTCCTCTTGAGCACGGTGAGTTGAGGCCTGGCTTTTTACTGGCACATGTATGAATGTTTGAAGCTATCACAGAATTCCAGACTCCTGGAGCTGGAAGACTTGAAGACTGTCATACTATGTTCACTGGAAAGAACCTTAGCTTTAGAGTCACAGGACTTTGATTCAAATCTTATCTCTGACATTGTGCCACCTTGTGCAAGTCACTTAACCTCCCTGGGCTTGTTTTCCTCCTCTATAAAATGAAAGGGTTGAACCAGATGGCCTCTGAGGTCTCTTCCAGCTCTGAGTCTATTATCCTAGTTGTACCCACATAGGGGTATGCTAGAGCTGATTATAATAGTCTTGAGAGCCAATTGTTAAATTTGCAGCATGATTATTTACAGCGTGGAAATAGGCAAATGCTATAAATCAGGGCTCATTTTTTTTTCTAATTTTGCTGATTGTCTACAATTAAGAAAGTCATAGAAAAAATGTTAATGATGCAGATTAAACTTAAAAGTGTGTATGATTACATTTTTTTTCCCAGTGAGCTTACCCACACATCACTGCAATCTATACCTAACCAAGAATCTCTCTTATAATATTTCTGACAAATGGTCATCCAGCCTTTATTTAAAGGCCTCCTCAAGGCAGCCTATCCCACTTCTGGATAGCTCTAATTATGAACAGATTTTTTTCTTTACATCTAGATAGAGGCTGCCTTTCTACTACTTTCAGTCACTACTCCTAGTTATGCCCACTGGGACTAAACAATTTCCCTTGAATAGAAATTTGTTTAGGGGGTGGGTGTGTAGTTGACATGGTCTCATACAGAAAAAATTTATCACCATTGTGTTTGCTGTACACACACTCCTTAGCTTTATATGCTCCCTGATCACCTCATGGCAATAGGTAATACCATCTGATGGCAAAGGAACAGGTCTGATTGGTTGTGAGCTAGTTGAGCATGTCAGTCATTTTGTGAAGCTATTATCAATTACTAAAAACTTGTCAAGATTTAATTGAAAGTGATGGAGGGAAATTCACAAATTGTCATTATAACTTTGAATGTAAATAGGATGTTTAAAGCAGCCCTCTTTGTGGGGGCAACAAACTGGAAATTACTGGAGAATGACCGAACAAGTTGTAGTATATGATTGTGATGGCATACTACTGTGCTGTAAGAAATGATGAGTTCAATGGTCTTAGAAAGACTTACATGAAGTGGTGAAGTGAACAGAACCAAGATAACATTGTATACAGTACAGTATTTTTTTATTGTTTTTTCCTAATTGATTAATTTATCAGTTTGTTTACATATTTACATACACCACAATTTTTTTTTTTTTTGGTGAGGGCAATTGTGGTTAAGTGACTTGCCCAGAGTCACACAGCTAGTGGGTGTTATGTGTCTGAGGCCGGATTTGAACTCAGGTCCTCCTGACTCCAGGGCCGGTGCTCTATCTACTGAGCCACCTAGCTGCCCCAGTAATATTGTTTTAAGAACAACTTTCAGCGACTAAGTAATTTTGACTTATAAATATACCAATTAAAAATAAAGGATATATGAAGAAAGATACTACATCCAGAGAAAAAACTGATAAATCGAAGTATGTATAGAATAATTTTATATGTATATACCTATTTTGTCTAATGGTAGCTATCTTTAGGGTGGGTGGGAGGGAAGAAAAAAAGCAAAAAAAAGAAATCTACATGATAACTTTGTTATAGTTTTAAAAGGAATAGAAAGTTGTACACAACAGATTTACAGTTTCATGTGCAATTGTCTTTTTTTATACAATGTCATGGAAATATTTGTTTTATTCCACATATTAAAAAGAAAATAAAATTATTTTTTTTAAAAGAAGATACTGGGGTAGGAAGGAAGAGATCAAGAGGGAAAAAGAACATTCAGGTTGTCCTGCTTATATTTAATGTAGTATTCAGTACTCATTATTGAGGAAATGTTTCCACAAAAGCAGAACTGGATTCTGTTGTAGCAGCATCCAACAACATGGGAAAATAATGTCTTTGTCACCTGGAGATATGCTGTGTGCTAAAGGATATGCTATTGGAGTAAATTAAACACTCAAACCTGCTTGAATATCTAAGAAGAAAAAAAAACTTCCAAAAAGTGATTAACATCTATCCCATGAGCCATTTTTCACAACATCATTTTCATAGTTTTCCTTCTACTGGAGAAATAGACCCAATGTGCTTTGTTGAATGAAAAGCCATTTGCAATGCAGTCACTGCACTTATAAAGAAGAAGATAAATTGTGGATTAAGGTCTCAGGAAGGTGTTCAAACAACTTTTACTATGAATTTGTATAACCAAGGGCCGTCTTTTGTTTGCATATTGAAAACCTGTTTGTTAAATCTGCAATGGAGCAGAAAATAGAATTTTAAAAGCCTGACTGACCTTTTTTTTTTTTTTTTAAAGAGACTTTGATCTGCTACTGGTACCATCTTGGGAA